CAGCCTTAGTGCCATAGTTTTCTCTTTTCTCTTGGCACTTGTATTTAAAAGTCTTTAGCTCACATTTTGCTCGTAAGCAATAAGAGAGCCCGGTAAGGTAGTCAATTGATTGCAATAAAGTAGACATATAAATTTTTTCAGAAATTAAATGGGATATTGTTAAACAATGATGGATAGGTTATTGAATAACCATTCGTGGTATTTTTATTTCCAAAGTGTGCCATGAATTTTTTTCCCTAGGTTTTTAAACCACAAATTTATAGAAACTTTTCCATTACTAATTGAAAGTTCAATTTATGGTTGTTAAACCACTTGAACTACAATGGCACACAAAGAGGGTGTGAATTGGTGTTTTAAAAAATTTCTTTCAAAAAATCCTTTTTGAAAATTAAAAATAAATTGACAACTTAAAATTAAAATTAGATTTTCTTAATTTGGAAGTGAATAATGAAACCAAAATTATTTTGTGTTTTGGATATTTGTAGAAAAACAAATATATATTTTTGTTCTTTTTCTTTTTTTATTTTTATTTCTTTTTCAACTAGGAATAAACCTCAGTCAATCATAAGTCTTACTTCACAACAATCCCTATACAAACCAGATTGCATGAAACTAAATATGCAAGAGAATAGATCATAGAAAAAAAAATGTGAAAAATAAAAGAACAAATACAACCAAATTTAAGAGTGGTTTGGTCAACTTGATCTACATCCACTCCCTGAAGTCTTATTCAGGTATTGCACAAAACTCTTTAGTGTCTCTCATTTTAGTCCCACAAACAAGGCAGAGAAACCTTTACAATAATCTCTTCCACCAACTCGGTTCAGCAGAATAGCCAAATCTTTTTCACCAACGATGCGGCAGAGTAGTCGAATCCTTTTCACTAATTGTGTGGTGGAGTTGCTGGTGGCCCTTTGACTCCAAGAGGTTTTTTTTGGAGTTTCCCTCAAGTGATGTTTTGACTCATGGTGTAAGAAGATGGCCAGAGCAGCCATGTGTAGACTCCTCTCAGGCTTCCTTGATCCCACATGGCTATTTTGTAATAACTGGTTCAGTTTGGCAGGCGAACAAAATCAATTAGATCGGGAGCAAAACCACGAGCAGGTTCGCAAACGTGCAGGCCGCATGCGTGCGTTCGATTCCTGGAGGGTTCGATTTGTGTACAAGAATGAAAAGTAACGACTCCTCGTGAGTCATAATTTCTGTTTGCTTATTCCTGCAGGAAAAAAAAAGGTAAGAAATTTTGTGTCAAGGGAAACTAATTGAGAGAAAGAAGACGAAGAAGGACGCTTTATTCTGTGATTATTTTCATTTATGTACAAATTATTGCTTGATTTCTTTTATCTAACTAGATATGAATGTCTTCTTGAAAGGTAAATGAAGGAATTAGGAGAAAAAATTAAGGAAATTTGGAGAGAAGAAAATTTTTCAAAAGATTGAAACAACGGGTTTCTATTTCCAACAGCGAAGGAAGAGTAAGTGATTTAAATTATTATTTTGAATTTTTCTATTTGATGAAATAATCGGTGATTATCAACTAGGAAGAAGAAACATGGTGGGGAGAGATTCGATTCAAAGAGCGATAAGAAGGCTTATTGAGGTAAATAATTTTTATAAATTTAGAGAGTTGTAATAGATTATGAAATTTAATTTAGATATATTGAAGGAGTCAATATTCTATAGATGATACCCAATGCATTGAAATTTTTCTTAAAGATCAAATTAATTCTGAAATGTTTTGAAGATGTTTTGTTTTAATAAAGCAATTAATGCAAATTAGTGTTATTTGAAGAATAAGAGATTTTCATAATTGAGCTCTGACGAGTATTGAAGTTTATATCTAGCTCGAGATTTGGAAGGGAATTGTAGCACAAAAATAACAAAGTTGATAATTTCAATTGTGTTGTAGAAATTTCAGCAAATTATGGGTATTCACCCCGTATGATACTAGCTGGGGAAGCAACGTACCCGTGCACATTAAATGAAAATGGTTGTACATTTATTAGTACATTTATACGATGATCCTGTACTAACTAAAATGGAAAATGAATATGTCTTAAATGGAAATGAATAAATGAAACATAATAAGAAATAAGTTATGTGAATGATATGTTATAAAAATCTACAATATATAAAAGATTATGCATATATTAACTGTGTAAGAATGCTAAATGAACATACATGTTTTAATTTATATGCTTAATTGTTGTATATGAAATGGTGATTATCCATTTATTATAAACTCAAACTGTAATACTAAATTTTTCAAATAAATCTTCAAAAAAGTAGAAATAGCTGAAGGAGAGGAATACGCTACAGTAGATAGCGACCGAACGAAATCAGGTAAAATATGGTTTATGTAAATATTCAAATGTGTATGTGGTTCTTAAGTTTTTATATGGGATGTAATTGATAATCTGTTTTTGAATTTAAAAGAAATATTTTAACCTTCCTACTATTTGTTTTTTCCTCATTAATTTGAGGCTCCAGGTCAGGTCCTGACATATTCTCTCTTTATCTCAACAGCACATTTCTCTCCCTTGCCCAAAGCTCTCTTTTCAAACTCTCTCTCACAGAAGACTAAAGCCCCTTTACTCCAAAAGATACTCTCAAACAAAATAAGAGATGTTTAAATAATAGGCTCCAAAACCCTAATTTTTAATTTAGTTGTCTTTGTTCGTATAGTACGATATGTAGATCGTACATTACGATTAGTTCAATTCTCCCTTTCAGTATTGTACGATGAATTTTGGTTTGTACGATCCGTTCAAATTTTTATCATTAATCGTCCAATACGATCTCATGGTCGTACTGTACGATTAGTTTAATCAAATCATATTCTATCTATGACAAACTCCTGGATGATCAAAAATCATTTTTTATCAATCGTTTAGTATGATATTGATTGTACTGTGCGATCTTAATGGTTTATTAAGCCTGATTCGATTGATTAATTTTCAAGATTAATTTTGGTCAAAATTTTCAAATATTGTACAATATGAATATGTTTGTAAAGAATGAATAAAACAATTTGCAAAATTCAAAATGTTGCCTAAATTTGATTGGCAGTTTGGTTTCCTGATTACAACTGATCGTCTTGTACAATTTAATTTGTACAGTACTACAGTATGATTAGTTCAAATTTTAATTCAATTTAAACATTTTAATTAATTTTTGATCACATATATCATGCAATATGATCCAGATTGTACAGTATGATATTCAAAAAAATTAAAGCATTTTATTTCACTCCCCCGTGAGTGTGAACACTATTGCTTTAGCTTACATACACCTTTTTTTGCAATGATTGACTAAACAAAATAAAAAATTATAGACTCTTGCATAAATCAAATATATACTACACAGTCTTGAGTCCTGATTCTCTAACGGTGTTTGGTATATGATGAATATGAAATATTAGTACACAGAAAAAATATACAATAATAAGAAATAGGAGAAACTAAATAACATTCAATAATGTTTGTTATCATCAATACATACGCTCGGGCTCTCGGATTGCAATAGAGATGACCTTGGATAAAGATGAGATGTCGAGATAACGTACGAGTGTAATTGTGGGTATAGAAATTGTTAGTGTCGAGCGTCAATGTTGAGATGGTTTTAAAACATTGATCTTGTGATGGAGTTGGAGAGATACCATCATGTGTTGTTGTGAAACCTAGTCATAAACCGCTTGATAAAAATGAAAGGGGAGTTTTGAGGAATGAGAAATTGAGTTCGGACGACTGATTTGGGGCTGTGGAGAGAAAATAGCAAATTAAATTTTAATTATTTTAATAAAAAATTTGAAGTTGAAGATATTATATTTTAAAAAAAATCATAAAATATTTAAGACACGTGTGTTCAAATTATTTTTAAAATTGTTTAATCGGGCTTCCTCCAACACGGGTCGGAGCGTGTCGAATGGGTGTCGTGTCTGGTACATGTTGGACACTACATAGCTTTTTGAGAAGTGTCAGTGCTTTATAACTCTATATGAAAGGGCCTGATTGTCCATAGGGAGTAGAACTTTAATATCTATGATACAATCTTTAAAAATAGATTAAAATAACAAGAGAGCATAAAATGGAAGATTGTATGGCCAAGTTTCATTCTCTTATTATGTATAAAAAATAATATTAGAAGTAGTACATAAATTGGTAGAGAAATAACGATCAAGTAAATGAACAAATATGAAAACAAGTTTAATTCTAGAATTCATAATTAGTTGATAAATTCGTAGAAAAATTAATATCAAGCATAAAAAATAGAATGTTGTTGCTTATGGATAGCTATAATGTTTTAGATGGAAAGTTGTTATCCACTACTAAGGCAGATAATGTCACGACAGTTCACAGGTTGTACTGTTATCGGTGGAAAGTTGTTGTCCAGAAATTGCAGAGTTTCTGTAGATGGAAATGTGCTAGCTACTAATACTTGATTATTTCAATAATCTTCCTTAGATAACTCTCCATTATTTACCATTATTTACTTGGATCAATTTATAATATACCTTTTTTTGTACATTATACTCTTCCTTTTTTTTTTTTTTGCTTCACAATATAGTTTAATAATTTCTAAAAGTAGCATTTTCACTTTTTGTAATAATTTACTAAGATTTTATTATCTCCTCTGTTAATCCACTTAATCTTATCAATGTCTTTAGAGCTCTTATCACTTTTTATTGTTTGTATATTTTCTTTTCTAATTAGCATTTAGCTAATTGTATAAATCAAAATTTGTATTTTTTATTTTCTTTAACCTTTTGTACCTCACCATTAGTAAATTGTCCGTTGATGTTCTTACAAGTTTTATTTGAACAAATATTTACTTTAGCATTTAAATAAAATTCATCAACCATTCTGTTGTAATTTGAAAGGATGGTCAAACATGGAAATTCATAAATTTTTGTTGATATGTTCACCTTGGCTCTGTTATATGTTAATTATACATTTTTATCTTTTTTGGAAAAAATCCGGATAATTGGTTATTTTCCTTAGGTACTTCTATAGATTGCTCTCTGGATCAGAGGAGCCCTTACCAGTGTTTGAGAAGGACCGTGCTTGGCATGTGTTTGAGCAACTAGATCTTATAGCAATCAAGGTTCTGCCTCCCGTCATGAATAGGCATTGGAACTTTTTCTTATTAGCGTTTCAGAAAGCTAGTAACTTCGACATTAATTTCTTCTTTTTCTGACCTGCAGAAGGCATGCAGCATACTTGTTGGCCATCATGATTTCAGTTCATTCAGAGCTGCTGGTTGCCAGGTGTTTTTTTTTATTTTAATTTTCTCCTCATTTCTCGATGTTTAAGAATATTTTGTTTGCCCTTAAAGTACACTATAAAAGCATCTCAACTAGTCGGGGATCAATCAACCAATGACATTATGATGTAGAACGGAATTGATGGCAGCCACCAAAAGAAAGAAGATACCAAGGTTCCTGTGATGGTTTGAGGGCTTGAGAGGAAGTAGACATCGAGTGGTAGCTCCTTGGCGTCTGGATAATAACCCATGATGTCCGCATCACATTATGTCAATCCTCAGTGCTTATGACTCATATTTGTGGATGGCTCGAAAGTTGTATAGAATATAAACTTCTTTATAAGAGGTCTTATCATCCATCATAATGGAAATACTTACCCGCAAAATCGCTATTTTGAGAAATGGCAACTATCACATCATATGACTTACAAGTCCTTGAAGGTATCACTACTTGTGTTTACCACAACATCAGAACCAATCATCTCATCAGGACAATCACTATATCATTTTTATACTAATAGTAACCAATAAAGCATGTTTATCTCAATTCATAAGAGTTTTTAACGCTAGAAGAAGTGTAGCAACGGCGTGAATTAATCACTACTGCACCGCTGGCAATATGCACTTTATCTCACTGATACTCAAACCAGATAAATAATAGAACTGATAGTAGCTCATGATTTATAGTTTCACAATTACTAACTGTAGATAAAGCTTCAACAACTGTTTAGAAACATAATTAACGTTGAAAGAAACAAGCTTTATACAATTTCTAAAAGTTTAGATCTAAATATAGTTGTTCTTTAAAAGTTTATTTTATAAATAAACCTCTAAAAATTTGCTGCCTCCGACATACCAAGACTAATGTCTTCTTAATATAAAACCTCTTTTCCATATTACTTTCATCACTCTAAGCATGCATTGATTGGTCTTTTACCACTCTATGCTTGCTTAATTGGACAGTCCTCAGGCTAACCGAGAGGGGTTGGGCTAAGAATTCTTTGACAAGTTAGGATACTTTTGGTGACTTAAGTCATAAGCACAATACCATGTTCACTATTTCGTCGCCGTTTATGATATGGTTACTAACACAATGGCTATAGCAAGCGAAGGTCACGCCTCCTACCCCTTTCATCAGTATTGTTGCAGATGAGGTTAGTGGATTGCCTAACTTTTTTTTTAAACGTTCCATTAACCATGAAAACTTATTTCTCGATGGAAAACATAGAATTAAAGGCTAAATTGGTGTGATGTATTGATATATCAAATAAATATGGATCATGTTGATAAGTCTTGCCTTTATTAGGGGTTTTCTGATGTCTAATGGTGTGTTCCCATGCTATTCTTGTGATCCCCATCCACCTCTTGTTCACTTTCTCTCCCCATAGAATTAGATACACAATCAGCATAAATACTTAGCCTTACATTATCAAGTTCCATACGTGTTTATAATTAATATTCACATATGTAAACAGCACAACTTTTTTTTTCAATAAAACCACTCAACTAATAGCCGAACAAATAAATTCAAGATGATTTAAACCTTGTTATGGCAATAGCTGTGTGTAGAAGATGGACCAAGAAGGCAAGAGATAGCATCAATGTGATGTAATGAGGGAAATGAGTAGACTAGAGGTGAGGCCTCAAGTGTAAAACAGAAATGTTTAAGCTATAATTAACACCTTTTCTAGTGGTCAACATGTTTGGATGGAGTTGGATGCATAAAGCCATCCCGTTGCCGGATGATGATTTACTTGTTGTCCTAGCAGCTAAGCATTCACTCCTCTTCCTTTATGGGCATACGATGTGGGGAGAATTTAGTTATGTATGCAATATTACTTGGCCTATTTACAGATTTTCAGTTATGTTTTCTCCCATTTTGGTTCTCTGCGTTGTACTTTCCAAGTAAATTGTTGAGTCAGTTGTCAAATTTCTTGTGAAGATTCAGAAATCATTTTTAAGAAGTTAGAAAGTGCTAATGTGGTCTGAATGCTATTTTAAAATACTTATTATCAAAGAATCAGCACTTTCATAGTTGTCCGGTTTGGTTACATTCTATGGAGCAAATTGAGTATGGAGGTTTTGACGGTCTTGAAAGTTCGTTATTTTTCTTATTTCTTAAACTTCTTTCTAAATTTTTTGGTTTCTCATGCAGGCAACTTCTCCAGTAAAAACATTGGACGAACTTGGTATTTGTGAAGTTGCTTCTTTTCTTTGCTTCCCATCAAGAACAGAGAGAAGAGAAATGAGCTTCAAATCATCAACTGATGATACTTGCTTTTCAAATGTAGCTCCTGAAACATGCACTACTGAAAGTAATGGATCATTTGGGGAAAGAAGTAGGCATCGTTGTTTCGTAATAACAGCAAGAGCGCGTTCCTTTCTTTACCACCAGGTTAGTTGTCTGTCTTTGACAAGTGCTTTTTGTTTTCTACTTGTATAGGTTGGCACGCTGTAGCTATTGTGAGTTGTCTTATTGCTTATAAAAAGTTTGAATATAGGTTGGTATAGTATGTAGGACCTACGTTTGACTTAAGTCTACCTGATCAAACGCACTTTTAGGTTCTCTTTGCAGTTAAGCTAGGTTTTAGATGATTGTTTAGGCTTTGTAAGAAACAGCATTAAGTTACCCATCTTTTGCATTAGCGAACTCAGAAATTTATGTGTAAGCAATAAAAAAACTCATCCAAACTTTGTTCTGCTACATGCTCGCTTAAGTTTTGGTTATGTTTTTTATTTAATTATTAGATAGAATAAAATGATAAGGAACAAGTTCTGATGGACCATGACTCATTTAGAACGTTGAAGTTCAAAATGCTAGTTTGCTGCATATGTCAGTCGTTTTTATGTACATTTTCTTGATTATAGCTAGCTGAAATTTCTGTTTCTATTAGAAATTGAGCTTCCCTAAAGTTGGACAATTTGACGTTTTCCTTGATTTATTTGCATGCGAACAGAATTCCTGAGAAGTATTTTGGGATAATTAATCAAATTTTACATTTTGATAGCTATGCTTAATAAGATAATAGTTAAGTTTCTGTTTCTTAAGCTTTATCTTGGTTGTAAACATTATGTAAATTTTTCTGTGTAATATTCATTAGCGATGCATATGAACTCTACAAATGTGATGCAGGAAATTTATTAATGCCTTGTGTTTTGTAGATGTTACCACTGTTAAGAAAATTAAAATTTCCAGTTTATTTTTTATGAAATTATAATTTGAATTCATGCAGCCTAACAAAAATTGATGCTAGCAAGCATGTAAAAACATAAGTCCAGCATCTAATAAAATCTATTTGCTGCTGGTGATGAAAAATAGGAAAGTTAGGACAAACCCAAATTGTCATGAAATAGTGATGTCATTAGTATAAATATAAGCCACTTGAGATGAGGCAGTAAGAAGTGCACTGCAGAGAACCTTCTTTATAAGAATATGTGAATTTAAATAAAATTGATCACTCAGCCAAGAACAAATAGTGGAATTTTGCATATTTACATAAAGAAAAAAGGACCAAAATTGTCACTTGACTCTTTATAAAAGATTAAAATGATCCCCAACTATATTAAAGAATCATTTTGATCCTCCTCCAATTCCTTACAAAAAATCAAAATAGTCTCACCTTCCTTTTTAAAGATTTGAGGGACCAAAATGGCCCTTTAATATAATTAAGGACCATTTTAGTCATTCATAAAGAGTCAATGAATCATTTTGATCCTTTTCTCTTTACATAAATAATTCCAACTACTTCCATTTATACGAATGTCTCCCAAATTTCAAAAAACACAACAAAATCGCAACTTTTATATTTTGTTTCATTAAATACTCAATAATTTGGTCGGGACTAGCACAAATACATGTGTTTTCTTGCTCATTTTTAGGTGGGTGTTTGATATGTAAATATGCAAAATTTTAGTAGTAATTATACCTTGCGTTATATATAAACCAAACAACCATAAAGAGGCCCAATAGTAGGTGTTAACCTAAGGTACTTCTGATCATCCTGATGATGAAATGGAACTTGTTAAATCATTTTCCGGTAAGACTATAGCTGCATTAGCCAGGTCTTATGCAGATGATAATTCAGATTTCTGGAGCTGGTTTAAGAAAATGAAATTGATTCCACGGGTAGAATGGTTCTGGTGGCGCTTGTGGAGAAATGCTATTCCATCTAAAGACTACCTTGTGTACAGAAGATTAGCAAATGATAATCTTTGTCCTAGAGGATGTGATGCGGTGGAGAATTCAGAGCATTTAGTAATTAAATGTGGAAAGCTGAAAAAGGCTATCGGTTTGGCAAATAGATGGGGTTTCTCAGTTCCTATGTTTAGTTCTTGGGCAGATTGCTTGCTGAAGCTGAAATACATGTTGAAGGTAAATATGTTTGCTGCAAATTTATATTGCACGCTAGCTTTCTTCTATTGAAAGAGTAGAAATAAGGTGATTCATGAGGGGAAAGAGATTGGCCTATCATCTGTAGTATCAAATGCCATCGGTACTACTTCTATTGCTATGAATTTTAGTTCAATTCGGGATCACTGGGGTGCTAATCGGTTGTTAAGACCGTTGTCAAATACTTGGCATCCCCCACCCCCGAGTGGATTAAAGTCAACATAGATGCAACGTTGTTGAGATCTAATGAAGTCGGAATTGGTGGAGCTTTTAGAGATCATAAAGGTAGATTTCTCCTTGCTTTTGGAATCAAATGTACTCATTGGGACAATGAAGCTTTGGAGCTGTTGGCATTTCAAACTTTAAATAAGGTTATTAAGGATTGGATGATGAATTCAAAAGGTATTATACTTGAAAGTGATAGTTGCAATGTTGTGAACTATCTGAAGGCTGCTGTTAAGAAACCCTTTCCGATCCATGATGCTAGGTATGAAGATTTATCTTTCCTCAATAAGTTTGATTATTTCTTATTTAATTGGGTAGATAGAGAATATAATAAGTTAGCCGATTGTTGTGCTAACTTGGCATTGTTGGGCGATTTTATTTGGGAAGATATTTGTTCTAATAATGCTCCTCCTAATTTCTTGTTATTATTAGAGGAGGATTGTGATAGAATTCCTATCACTTTATAGATTGTAGTAGGGTTTTTCTTTACTTTGTTTAATGCAATTTGCAATTTCAAAAAAAAAAAAAACCTAAGGTACTTCTGAAGGATAAAGATAAATATGGCCAAAGGTACTTCAAATATAATATTTACTGTGCTTCCCATGTCAATAAGAATGCTACAATTTGAAAATTGGCAATAAGTTGTATGACTATAATCATGTCATTTTTAGGAATTGCCATTTGTTTGTCAATTTTTGTTGATGAAGGTAATCAATTTTTCCTTCATAAAAGATCTCGAAGAAGGTAATATGCATCACTGGAAGCTAACTTGTCTTGATGCTTCTGCTCCAGCTTCCCTAAGAATGACTGCTAGGACTCCTACAAATGGATTGCATCTGTTGGGAGTTTTATTTCATCGCTGCTCCATAGGCACTTGCTTTGGTTGATGTTTTGGGTCAACAATGACAAATTCTCTTAGTTTCCGAATATTTATCAAATCTTCAAACAAATTGTGGAGGTGATGACAATCCTTTGTATCATAGGTCATTGCTTTATGGAATATACAATACTTTGTTGGGGTTTTTACATGTATAACACTTAAAACTATCATATTTACCTATTAAACATCTAAAGTTACCTATTTACTAATATACCACTTCAAAACGTTTAACTTAATCAAAAAAACCACTCCGTTCGCTCCCGTCACAGCACAGAGCACGTAAAAATCCCTACTTTGTTATATCCCATACATGAAGACCTGCACGTATTAATGCAGATTGGTCATACATTGCATATGTAATCTCTGTGAGTGAAGAATGATGAGGAGTTAAAGTTGGATACTACTGAGGTTAATGTGACCATCATACTTTGCAGCATCATAGTTTCTCAGATCCCAATCTCCCTCTTAAGGCGGAAATTAGGATGTTGCGACCGCTACTGCTGCTAATGATGATTATGTGACTTCTTTTCCAGCTTGTACCAATTATTTTATGATAGAGTTTATTACTCTCAAGGATTTCTCTCCAGGTTCCCCATAGAACTAAGTCATGTGGTCGAGATGATGAAATTGTTGATACACAATTATATTCTTTCATATTAAATATAATGGTTTGCGAGTTAACTCAACTTGACAAATGTTTTTAGCTGTTGCATATTGAGTGCTTAACTAAACGGACATTCTCAGATTACTTGCGTCTTTGCATCTTGAGCTACTACTTGCTCCAAATCTTTGCATCTTGAGCTACTACTAGCTCCAAATCTTTGACTTCTAACTTTTAATGTTGGAAATAAACTATGAAGTTTCTCGCCTAACTCTTATCATTCAGAAGAGCCTTTGTATTCTACAATGATTTTTCAGTAGTGAAATTAGCTGGCATTTGAACGCATTATTGATTTTGATAAGAGAAGCGTTTGACTCAAAGTAAAGAACATGGTTAGTTGGGTTTGACTTCCTTTTGTATGAATCAAGATATGGGAGTTTGAACTTGGGGTGAGCTAAGGTGGGCATGATGGCTTGTCCTTTAAGAGGTATTTCTATAATAAATTCTTCTGGAAGATATGTTTCATCAATAAGTGGAATAATATAGGTTTCGTCAACAACTGGATTAGAGGCAATGGCTTCGGCTAGGCTAATGTCGATAAATCAGGGAGGAAGTAGATCCTTGCTCTTGTGAAGACTTAATAGCAGTTGCTTGCAAAAATGCTTAAAAATCCTTTAATCTTTCTTAGAATTGGCTTCACATTTGGTGATTTTCAGTAGATTTAGAGCATTGTGCGACATTAACCTTGGCACATACCAAGCCAATTTAAGGCTTGTAATTTACTGAACTTTAGTTGACTTGATTTGATCTGACCCAGGGATTCTGGGCGTAGACAATGAAGTTTGGCATATTAGCAAGTGTATGAGTTTACAATTAATATAAGTTCCTTGTAAGTTGCACTCTTTAATGATCATAATAGCTTGTAAAAGGCTTCTAAACTGGCCAACTGTTTGCATTCTACAAGTTTATTTAATTAATTATATATTTGAAAGAGGTTTAAAAGATGAGTTGTATTCTCATATGTTTTGTCTTCTATGATCTATCATGTATTGAAGGTTCTATTTTACTTCAATTAAAGCTGTATCTTGTATCTGCAATTGTTATTAGGGATTTTTAAATCAAGAAAAGTCAAAACACTTCTTAAATTGAGGGGCATTTGGTGTGGTTGAAGCTGTTTTTAAAATAGCTATAAAATTACTGCGGTAAAAGAAACCTTTTGGGAAGTTGTTTTGGGCATTATAAATTTTTTTTTTCATTTCGAAGTAGGATTATAGCTTTCTTTTCGCTGCCATACTCTACCTGATTCAGTTGTAAAAGGTTGAAGTCTTATTACTAAAATTTTGAAAAAGTGGTTTAGAAGCATCCTAATCTGATCACCACTCGATCATTGTCGTTGAACGACAGCTTGACCACGACTATCAAATCACCACCATACCACTGCTGTTGATCCATTATCCAACTATGACTGTCGAGCCACAAATCAATTGTAGTCATTGAACCTTTATTGTCTAATTAGTAATTACAGTTGTTCGACCATTGTTGCCTGACTATATACAGACCTCCGATCATTGTCCCACATCTTCGGTCCTTTGGCCAATGGTATGAAAAACACAACAGTGTAGAAGTTACCCAAAATGTAGTTTGAATCCATTGTTTGTGATAGTAATATGTAAAATAGTCTAATAATTATCCTTTTTGTTCTAACTTAAGACTAACAAATCTATCCAAAAAGTTTTTCTTATGAAGCATCGACGTGAAACCTTAGCAGAAGTTCTTTGAAAGCTAGAACCGAGTGCAAATAGGAATTCGAATTCCAAACTAATCTAGAGTTTTAGGTGCCTAAAACCTTTTCCCTTGAAAAAACATCTCCGTTTTGTCTATTCATCTTTCTGGCAACCTGCTGTAGTTAACAGATCTGTCAGTGTCTTTTCCAGATTCAGCCAACCGGATTTGCCATCTTGCCTCACGGTTCCTAGCATCCTGACCCTTCATCAATGGCTCTTAAATTTCACTAATTTTTGTTTTTTTTATTTTTATATTTGCTCGACCTTGAGGGCAAAGTCGTGAAGGGGTGGGTAATGATACAAATAAATACAAGGGGTTTTTCTAATGGGTAATTAGTGAATCAAATCATTTTATAGGTTATTAGAGTTGCTAGGTTGTTAATAGGTGATTAGATGCCTTTGTAGCCTATGAATACTCCTTTTATGGGGAAAATTAGTAAATAATGGATGAATTTGGCCTCAGTAGTTGCTTCTCTTTTCCTCTAATCACATGAAACTGTAGGCATCCTCTAATTATCTAAATCTTTCTCCATCGTGTTTTAGACAAGCTCAAAATTATCTAATTTTCTTCTGTTTTTGAAATTATCTTTTTATAAAATGTTCATCTCACATTGCAGGTCAGGCTGCTTGTTGGTGTACTAAAACGTGTTGGGACTGGTGAGCTGACCGTTGAAGATGGTTTGTTCACTGTTTTTGTCCTATAAATTTCACTTCAATATTTGAAAATAACCTTAATCATCTCTTTTTTTCTCTCTTTTGTTTCAGTGAAAAAAATCTTGAATGCAAAGACGGTGCAATCTGCAATTCCGATGGCTCCTGCTTGTGGTCTTTATCTTGGGAATGTAAAATACCATTTTTCTTAACTCATGATCATCAGCCATATCGCAGCTAAGCCTTCCGGCTGTTTTTCTCACAATTCATTTCTTTGTTTATTTAGATTTCTAGGCGGCACCAAATTCAGGTATTTGCGATGCTGATTTTCTGTGTTTTAGCCATTTGCGTGTCTATTAAGCAAGGAATTTGTGATGTAACTTTAATTAGATATGGTTAAATTATAAAAATTTTGAGCTTTTTTTTTTCGAACAAGTTCATTATAATTAACAATATTCACATTCTACTAGTGCATCAAAATGATCAGGTTTCTTCATTTAGACAACTTCATGCTGCAATACTGGTGGCCATTAAGCTTGGTGAACCGTTATTTGGTGTTCTATATAAAGAATGAATATGGTTTCCAGGCAAAATTACTAGTCAAGGTTACTGATGAATGAAAACCACCTGCATGGGCGAGTTCTTTGGAAGCTCGCCCGTGCAGGGTGACTTCACAAGAGCCAGGTCAACTTCAACCAAATCTGCGACTGCTCAACAATACATTTATTATTAAAATACCAGAAATAAATGGCAAACACTTATTAATGTAAATATATTATATTCAAAACATTAAAAATTTAGAAGGGGCACTGACCCTCATTAGGTTGAACCAACTTAATTTGAATCTTTCAAAGATGATTATTTTAGAATGAGGGCTCAAGCTTATGATTTTAAAATACTTCACGATTATTTTAATTATGCATCCCATAATTATTTGGTAGACTTTAGCACAATTTTTTATAAGTATTTCTACTCTAAGAAAAATAAATAAGGAAAGTTTATGCATTATTATTAAATTTCATCTTTACAAACAAAGAATCACTCTCTTAAGATAATTTTAGCTTAAGTAGGTCGTTGAAGAAACCTCTTTTAGGCAATGCATATCTGACTTTAATTTATGCTATTAATGTTTTGTTTGGGACAATTTTCTTACTATTTTTAAATACAAAAAATTATTAATAAATAAAAACACCAACAACAACATCAAGTATTTATCCCACTGTGGGGTTAGCTACATGAATCCTTTTCTCTATTATGTCCTATTAAGAGTTGAATTCTCATTTAAATCTAATAAAAAAATTCATTTCTAATATTTTATAACGAAGTATTTTTGATTCTACATTTCTTAACATAGACAAAACCTAATACGTTTACTCTCCTAATGGAGTCATTAGAAGGTCGATGTTTTATGTGACAAACCAACTAAGACGACTCTGTTTGATATTATTTGCTACCGGAGTTAGTCCAACCTTTTTCACGTATATGTTTGTTTCGTATTCTATCTCTAAGAGTAAAGCTACTGATCCACTTGAGCATCCTCATCTATGCAACACTTAACTAGTGTAATAATAATTTTTTGAATTTAACTAGTGTAATAACTTGTACATTTTAAATTATTTAACTAAATCTATTTTAAAAATTTAATTATCATTTAAATTAGTATAATAATACACAACTCTCCTTGGCCTATTGGTTGAAAGCTTAGGCTTCCAACTAA